TTTTCACATATGTGACCTGTATCTGAACAACAAAGATCTCATTTTTTCCAACGTGACCACCCCCACTTGGCTATGTGATCCTGAATCCAATGTATCTGATCTTTTCAAATACGATTTGTGCTCTCCTCGCAAAGCATTATGGGACTTGCTGTCACAGCGGCCCGCTGTCGCCATAGGCTGTTGCTACCCGACAGCAGTAACTAATAACAAAGATGGAGCAAGCACCCCGCAGTGGAGGAGGAGTTAAGTGACCGACGATCATCTGTCTGAACACTAAGTTAACTAAGTTTGCTATAAAGTCCACTATATAAAAATCCGCTCTCTATAGTGATTGATGGATATAAGGGGTTAGGGTGGACGTTCGGGCAGAGTAAGAGTTATGAGAACAGCAACTTTTAAGCAGAGTGTGCACGAGGGGAAATGGGCTTGTGCATGCTCTTGCATGCGTGTAATAGGTGTTTACAGTGGGACAATAGCATCATTAGTTTGGGTGAAATTGGCAAAACCACCACTATATATAAATGTCAAATTTTAGCAATTGTGCCAAAATTTGCCAAAATGTAGGCGTACATATTGGGGGCCACCTTTGTTTTGCCATGTGCCATGATCATGGTTTTTGGACATTGGGAACCAGTGTCCATGGGCGCATCTTTGGTGAATAAACAGCTGTAAGACGTCTGCAACCCCCCCAACCCCCCACCCCTCCACCAAAATGGAGACCCAGGCCCGAAGAGACCCAGATCTCCAGAATTATCAATGATAAGTCATCATGGTGACCTTTCAGAACCAAACTGCTGCAAAAAAGACTGTTGCAACACATTTCTCTTGAGTTTCAGAACTTACAGAGCCAGACTGGATGAGAAGGCCTTCTAGGGACCTCTGGTGTGAGCCTGAGACAAAGAAACCCCTGGTCACTGTTAGCCTGACTGGTAAGGTCATGTTGGATGAAACTAAAGCCTTCCAAATGGAAATGGACAAAAAGGTTTGCAGGTTTGGCACAATTAGGGACAGAACAAACAATATGTCTTTTGATGATGTTGATCATTTCATGTGTTTACTGATGGGTAAAGACAGAGCTAACAGGATGGACTGCATGCTACGCTATGCTACAGTAACATATTTTGAGCTGTTGTTGAAGCTTGGACAAGCTTTCACCAAGGGTTAGACACTGATATAACATTAGTGTTAATGTGTTCCTCAGATGCTCATTACATTTCCATTACCAAGTATGACCAAAAGTTATTTAGTGGCAGACATCCCAAGTCTCCCGGAAGTTCCGGGAGTCTCTCAGATATTGATAGATGTTCACGGTTGCCCGCGAGTCGGATAAATTATCCCGGATTTTAGACAATGCTAGGTGGTGTTTCTTTAATGCAAGTGAGAGCGAGCAGGCAATACAATAATTCGTGCATCATGTGTGGATTAGAACTACTGCGATTACGCAAACAACAACAGAGAGCAGGGTGTGGAGGAGGTTGCTTGTGAAACCTGTGAAAGCCGTGCAGTGTATCTGTCCACAGCGATGCTGTTCAACTGGCGTGGGGTTGGGTGGTGGTGGTTTAATTTATCAGTTTAAATAAGATGTTTTAACAACTCTACAGGGGAGCGCAATAAACATGTTAAAGTATCAGAAAAAGAAATTCC